GTTGAAATTGCCTCAGATACATGTGTATATATATATATACAGATACATGTATAAAAAATATGCTAACTGCATGTTTCACATTGTTCAATATATCAGGTGAGCCATTTGGAGAATTTGATATTTTTGGAGTAATTGGTGTAAACAGGCATTTTATGTTTTTGAGTACAGTTTCAAAGAATTGGGTTTGATTACTCTATGCAATTCTACAATCAGTATTTTCCTAATTCTCACTAACTCTTGATATGTGAATCTTTCCTCTTAGAAGAAAACAGCATGGATGTAAATTAATCTACATTTTCATCAGTAAAATTGATAGATGTAAGTTTTAACAAATTCAATTCTGCTTAACTTGGTTTGAATTTGGAAGGAAAAAAAGAGCATGAAGATTGCCAAGAGAATGTTGTTTCAGTACAGTGCGGTTTCAGTGTTTCAATAGACAAATGCAAATAAATTGACTTGATGTGGTGGTGAAAAAGACATTTAACTGACCTGTTTCAGTAACTTGGGTACCCCAAAAACCTTGGCTGTGTTAGGGGTATATAAATGCTGTGTCAGACTTTAGGTTTATAGAGCACAGGAGTATAACACGGGATCCAGTTTATCTAGTTATATTTCCATAAATTTTTTCCCGATTTTTTGTTTGTTGTGATAGCAAGAACGACCTGGAAAATGATGCAGACAAATCTTGACAAATATTTTAAACATAGTACTTTTAAAAATGCATGGCTTTTGTTTAACTCATGCTGTATAAACATAAAAGTCAATACTAAGAATTTCTGCCTATATAAAGGCAAACTGAGTTCATAAAAGTTGCTTGGAATTTATACATATAGTGATATAGTCCTAAATGTTTCTGGAATATGCTGTTTCTGTGTCTCCTCCAGCTTCTGAGTGCCTATACAAATACTTTTTGAAAAATATTCTTTGGCATTTAAAACCTGAACAATCCTTAACCCTTTAAAAATAACTTGTATTTCTAGCAGTGTCAATGTCTCCTAATACAGAAAATGAGAGAACTGTCAGCAAGAGGGAGATTTAAGAAGACAGATATTTTGTTGTAAGCTGGTAGAAGGACACCAAATATGTGTTCAGCCATTCTTGTCACTGGAAGAGGCAGATACGCAATGCAGGTGAATTTGATCTCAATCTGCATCTCCTTCAAAGGATCTTTGGTAACCAATTTCACATGTCTGCTCTCCTCTTCGTAGTGCTCAGCCTCTGTGCTTGTTAACTGTACAGTCTGTGCCAACCTTGCTTCTGCTGGAACAGATTTCATACAGAGAGCTAACAATGAACAGTTTAGTTAAGCACATTGACAGAGTAGGTACTGGGGATCTGCTGAACAACTGACATCTGGGAGGAGCTTACTCTCTGTGCCTTGCATGATGGACACAGAGTTCTTGTCTGTATATATGGCAGTATTGTATATGTCAGGGTTTTCAGAGTCTTGGCTCTTTGGATACACGTATACAGCTGTTGATTAGACCACAAAGAACCAGCCTATGGAGACAGGTAGAGGAAAACATAAGGATGATCAGCTGAAGATGATACCCCTTATTCTTTCCTTTCAGAAGACCTGTGCCAAAACCTTACTTTCTGCAATCTGCCTGGCAGTGTGAATGAGTAGCAGTATTTGTTTTGATACAGTATTCAGTGTGCCTGTTTACTTTTTTTATTCCATATGATATTAAATTATGGTAAAAAGAGTAGTATAAATATCACAGCTGTTCGCAGAGGTTTCCAGACAATATAATTACTCAAAATGTTATTTTCCTCTGCAGAAAATAAAACAAAAAAAAATGCCTTTCTTAAAGATTTTTTTATCAAAATTAAAACATATCAAAGGCAGCTTAAGCACTACAGAAGGAAATCACTTAAAAGAAACTGGTCTCTGTTCTGTTACTGGTGAATTAAGTCACTTTGGGCTTGTTCGTTTTGCTTGGTTTGAGATTTTTTTTCCCACATGTTCTCCTTCAAAATCATAGTATGGAGTTCAAAGGCAACCCTAAAAAAAATTTATAGGAGTTTTTTTACTGTTATAAATAGACAAAAATATATTAAAAAGAATACTTTTATTTGCACAGTAGGCTTTTGACAACTTTTTTTCTAAATAATGTATTTTTAGGTACAATGTAAGCACTGAATGAATCATAGAATCATAGAATCAACCAGGTTGGAAAGGACCTCTGAGATCATCAAGTCCAACCCTTGATCCACTACTGCCATAGATACCAGACTATGGCACTAAGTGCCACTTCCAGTCTCAAAAAGAATTAGTAGTGCTTCTTATTAGTAGACTTTTTAGCTTAGAAATTTTTAAGCAGCATTTTACTGACTTATGTAACCATAAGGTTATGGAGTCAAGTTAAATCCTTGATTAATGTCATTGATTTGGTCTGTGGCTTCATCACATATAGGGAATTAATTCATTTTGAGGTGGTGGAGAATTGATAATGCTTTGAAAAAATGATAATACCATAATTACTGAAGTGAAGTTACTGCAAAGAATATACAGGCTAATAAGAAAGAATCTTAATCAACAGAAGTTGGCTAAATTCAATCTCAGTGCAAGATGTCCTCCAACTCTGCCCAGGTATTACAGAGTAAACTTCTGGAAAGAAATCAGAGATAGATTAATTGGCATTGCTAGTGAAGTATTGCTTTGCTTCAACATTACAGGTATATGACATACAATATATGTTTCAGAATTCCTAAACTGTGCAAGTTGCTGTAGTACCTTAGATTTAAGAGCTTTTCTGAATACCTCTGTGATTTCTCTTGTGTTAAAAAACTAAGCATGTTGGAAAGCGTTTTGAAGAATCAGGGCATAATATTCCTTAATAATACAATTGATTTCGAAGGGACTAGTTATGGAGAAAAATTTACTCATCTTGATAATAGGGTGGCAGAACTCTGCATAATAAATAGAATTTTGGAAAAGACACTGGTTTTTTATAGTCTATTCCCTTGACAATCTAAGACTGTTCCTTATAATGTTGAATGCTCTATTTTTTAGCACTGTATTTAATTTCCTTGTAAATTACTCAAACTGTGGTTCTGCTACCACTTCCCCAGTCTATATCATAAATCAGAATGTGCATGTGTTTGTTTGGTATTGCTCAATAAAACAAATAACAACAGATCTGAAAAAGACGTCAGAAAACTGCTTATTCTTAATTTATGTGAATGATTGCTTATTTCACTGTTATGTTTAAGTGTATAATGACTTCTGCCAAAAGAATCTGACACATATTGCATTTGATTAATGAATGCCATTATTTGCTATTGGCCTGAAATATTTATCTTTATCTAAATATTTTTTTTTCATAATGGACAGTTTTAAAATTAGATTAAGCACTTCTGTATAATATCTATTTCTACTCCTAGACAAATCACCCTTTTATTCAATTAACATTACTATTCCAAGCTTTACCAAGTAATTTCCCAGTAATGTAGTATAAAACTGTTTCACTGTTTGCAACAATCAACTTCTGTACAAAAATCAGTTGAATAGAAAAGAAAGAAATCATGTGTTGATAATAATATGAGACTTAAAATGAGAGTGTACATTTTTGTAAGATGAATCCTTAGATGTTCTTGAATTGTGTTTTTCTAATGAGTACCTCTGGGTATTGGTCAAATTCATCATGTCTTAATCGTTGGTATCATGAGGATGCAGTTGCTCTTCCTATTTTTATTTTCCTTTTTTCATGAATTTACAGTTCAGTAGTCTAAGCTTAGAAGGAAAATAAACATGAATTAATTTTGCCAAGTAATTCTGAAACTCATTTTAATTAGTCCCTTACACTCTGCAGTTAACCATGATTGCATTTCATATTTTAGTCTTTCTTGCTTTGTATAAGGAGAAATACTCCTTAGTAACAATGTTAGTAAAGTGGAAGAATAAAATGATGCATCTTTCTACATTAGCAGTGCAGTTCAATTTTCCAAGCTGCTCTGATCAAAAAGTCTTGATATGTCAATTTTGCTAAATTTTGCCATCTACCTTAAGTATAACTGATTACATTTCTTGATTTAAGGATTAAGAAGTCAATGAAAAAGTTATCTGAGCTGGAAGACAAACTCAGTCTTAGAAAATGGTAATCTGTGACTTTCATTACATCTGATTCTGCTTACTGTATCTGACTATACTTAATTCTTGATGCATTACAGATTCTGAAATTTAAAAAAAAAATATCTCTGTTTGTATAAATGCATAGATCTTAGAGCTCCTGTTGGTAGAAAATAACTTCACGGAGATAAATTGATTCTCAAGCAGGGAAATACTTTTTCCCACTTATGTCCTACCTTGTTTAATATCTTTTGGAGCTTTGCATTTACAAATTCTGCCCTTGGAGAACAATAGTCCTACTCCCTTGGAAACTGATAGAAATTTTGGTCTTGGTTTTGAGAGGAACGTATAGTAATAGATCGGTTTGTGCATTATTTCTGAAGATTTTTGTTCTTTATATATAAGGTAAGAAATTCTAGTCTAAGAGCTAACGTCTTCTACAAAACTTGATGACTCTACAAGAGGTCCTTGGCCAATACTACATGGTACAACACAGCTGCCCAGTGTGAGTCGTGGCAGGAGAATTGTTTTCAGATTCCATCAGTGATCAGATCTCCCCCCAGTGTCACACAGAAACACTGGACACAGATGATGCAGACAGTGATGATGGGTTTGCACATCAAAAGTCTTTGCAGCTGAAAGGCACCAAGGTTCTCATATATGATTAGCACACGAGCCCTATGGGGAAAATATCTGCTCCTCCAAATGAGATTACAGTACAACTGCTGCTTTCCCAACATGTATTCCATAAAATGGAACTTGGGCAAAGTTTATGGTTGATTACTTTGTAGTTTGCATCTTTTCTTTTGGTATTATCCAACATGTTCACCTTCACTCTCTTTTTCATTCTCAGGAGAATCTGGTTTGCTTATCAAGTTCTCTTTCTCTCTCTTTCTCTCTTTTTCCCCGGTTTTTCCCCTTCATCCAGATGGAATGCCATTTGCTTGGTGGGTTGGCCGTGCCAATGAAAAGCATCTTTACTGGGGAGGATCTCTTCCGGGCATTCAACAATGTGCATGTGGACTGGAAGAAAGTTGTCTGGATATGAGATATTTTTGCAACTGTGACGCAGATAGAGAAGAATGGTAATAATTTTAACATGTAAATGGCAGTATCTGTATGAAGAGCTGGTGATAGGAAGTAGGAAAGGAAGGGTTAAATCCTTTCCTGATTCACAGTTCAGGAAGATTGAATTGCTTGAGTATAATCAGACAAGAATGAAAGTCAAACTAGAATTTTGACTTCTGATTTCATCTTAAATTTCTTTTTTAAACCAAAACCAAGATATCTGGCTGAAGCATGTTGCTGGAATGGGTGGTCTTCAAAAAAATATTTCTCGTTGAATGCTGAATCCGGTAACTGTATTTGTTTAAAAATTTTTATTCAGTTGGAGCATTACATGAATAAAGGTTCTGGGAGATTGGTTCACGGGCATATATCAGAGGAGAAAATTCAAGTATAGACAGCAAAAGTCAGGTACAGCTAAACAAGAAATATGTACTGTTGAAAAGAACAGTATTTTTTCTAAGAGACAGTATATCTGTATGTGCCTTAATGTTTTTTTACATTGGATCCCAAGCTTTTTAAAGTCAATAATAAGACTTGCTTTGGCTTCTGTAGGCTTTGGTTTAGTTTCCATAGGAAGTTTTAGTTCCAGTATGAATATTCAAAGCCTTCCCTGGCTTTTGACTTTAGGTGTGCTCTGATGCTGCATGAATTTGGGAAAGCCACCTCACAATCTTCTCTCATTCTCTGCACCTTCAGAGAACTCCAACCACCAAGAGATAGTTGGTGAACTTTCTAATTAATTCCTAATTGTGTTTGAGGGGACTGAAATGCCAGATGAGTGTTGTTGGAAGTGCAATTTGAAACACTGATGTGAAAACTCTCATTCACTTACTTTTGGACCACTCACTGATAGGAGCTGTTGTCCTTTCTCTGAAAAAAAGATATTTTAACCTTGAGTAGTTCAGAAATTATGAATAACAGAAGTAGACAAGAAATGTCTTACTGTCATAGGCTACTGTGTTTGAAATAGTGTCCAAATTATCCCCGTGAAACCTTCACTTAAAATGAGCAGAAAGGAACTGTAAAGAGTCCTGAAATACAAAAAAAATAAAATCAGAAATTACTTGTCACTGTAAGTGTTGGGTTTTTTTGGTTGCTTGATTTCCAGACAGTGTGAGTATTTGCCTGGACCATTTATTTTCCTGGGGTCACGATTCGTTTTCAAAAATTATAACTGTAAGGGGATTTCTTCAGGAAGATGTTTATGTAAACGTTGGCTTATGCATGTGATTTGTATAGAATAGGCTGGCTGTGCATGTTAATCTATCTTTTCTTTAATGTTTGTTTATCAGATGCGCTTTTGACAAGGTTTACACATGAGCATCAAGAGCATCTGTTTTTACTAGTGCTTGGCTCATTTCATAATCCACATTCCATTTTTCAGTGAGCTACTTCCCAAGTAGAACAGGGTGTTATGCTGGCAGACATTTAGATTGCAGTCTGTGATTGCAGGACTGCACCATTAGGTCATACAAACCAATGCAAGGTGAAAGCTAAATGCAGTTTTATAATGTTTCAGCTAAGTCTCCTCAGGAAATGAGACCCAAACACGTTATGCTATGGGTGTTTATCTCCATTTTAACCCCACACCCAATGATTTCAAACATCTTGAAGAGAGAAAGAGAAATCTCGAAAGTATTACAAATTACACATTTTATGAAAATTTATGCCAGGCTGAGGGGAAAAAGCCAATTAAAATGCACAAGAAAGAAGTTAAGGAAGCGTACACTTCTATTAGATTTTGGAAAACCCTCATGGGAGGGAGATGTTGGAAATCATGCGTCATTAGCTTGGCAGCTCACAGAGCTACTTGTTTCTCCTAATTCCATGATAATAGCAGAATATGCTCAGAAGTCTCCTCTGCTAAACTGCCTACTGTTTGTTGGTTTGGAGGTTCAGTTGTTTTGGTGTTTAATCCATGAGAAATTTTTACTTTGGTAGCATTCTAAATTGCAGGTTGTCTTTTTAAAAGCTGAAAAACCTCTGACCTTTATGAAGAGTTTCTAAACATAAGAAATTTCATGCCTCTTGAAGATTGCTTTTGTGTTTCCCTGCTAGAACACTGACCCCCTGATATATAACGAGCATTAAAACCTGAAACCTGCTGAGATCTGAACTGTGACTTTAACTTGCTATACATTATAGTGGAAGGAGCAAGACAGCAATAGATGCATTTATTTGCCTCAGCATGAAATAAAATGGGTGCTGCAGAGTGGAAAACCAGAAAATCATTTTTACTCTTTTAGATAAATCATGCTGCTCCAAGGTAGGAACTCTCTAGAATAGTTGGAACGTCCTTCTGAAGAGGAGACAGGCCTAAAATTTTGCTTTGATTTGCTTTCCATAGACTAAATCTTAGGTATAGAAGGAGCTACTAATTTCTCAGAGCAGCAAAGAAATCATAAACAATGGAAGGCAGACCTGACAAAGTCCTGAACCAGGTGTTTGGCAGCACACAATATGTACTTCTAGGCATGCTGACTTTTAAATGATATCTGAGCAGACACCTGAGCCTGCTGCTATTTTTGGGCTCTTACTTGACAACAAGTTAGTCCCCTGGCCAGATGAACAGGAATGTATAATTAAAAGTGCTCTATGGGGAAGGCTTTTGTGTTTTTCACCTTTGTTCTTATTAAACCATTATACTGATAAGTATCTTCTTCTATCCAGCTCCCCATTATACTTCCAAGCTCTGTAGTATGATTACAGCTAATTCTGTCACTGCAGGATAGTGGAGCATCTTCATGGTATTTACCAGAGAATGGGAGAAGATCTCTGATGAGGAAGCAGAGGCATAAGTTGCCACCTTAAGTTTTTGAACCAAGCAAGGGACCTGGAAAGGTGTCAAACGCTCTTTGACTGTAGTTTATGCATGCTTCAAAAAAAAAAAAAAGAGAAATTTCTGACTGTTGAAAAAACTTGCTAGTGGCTGGGAACATTCATAGAGATCCAGTGGCTTCATGCTGAAGCTAAATCTAGTTCATAAAATGTTTTATTTTTCTTTCTTCCTCCTCCCCCACACTGAGAATAGTTAACTGTTGAGACAAGTTGTGTATAGATGAGGCAGATTTGCAATTTTATTTCAAAACACATACCCTCTTTCAAACAGAGGATGCATTCTTGATGCAGGCATAACTGGGGAAATGTGTTAAACTGATCTAAAGGATAAAGCATTACTGAAATACAGACAGGGTAGTGTTATAATGAGATTGTTTGGATTCTTAAACCTCTCCCAGGTTTTCTTCCATCTCAAGCAAAGTTCTCTTGCCTTGGCAGTTAAAGCCCTGCTGCTCACCACCACCTTGCATTTAAATGGGAGGAAACTCTTCCATACCATGGTGATGTATGACTGTCCTGAAGTCCGTTTCTGGTTTGGTCTCTCTAGAATCCAATTTCCACTTCAAATGAAAAAAATTTAGTGAAGCCAGTCATCACCTGGAAACCTTGTGAATTTGGAGAACTTCACAGCTTTTTATTTTGTATAGAAAGAGAGGCATCTCTGGAACTCATTTTGTACAGAAGCTCTGGCTTCTCAGCAAAGTGTGGTGGGCTGTTAATTCCAGTGAGTAGCTGATTGGCCATCTTTTATTTCTATTCTCCAGTCTTCCTATTCAAACTGTAGGAGTGTCCTTTTATCTTCCAGAATAGTCTCCTTCACTGGGGAACTAAGCCTTTGCCATTTCCGTGCTCACCTCTTTATCATGTCTTTGGGGCACTCCATGGAGTAAGGAAACCACAGGACATGAAAAGGAGGGGAACAAAAGGGAAGATGGATACTGCTATTGTCAAACACAGTTTGTCTTGCAGAGATATACTGAACATATCCAGCCTTGTATGAGGAGGAGCAAAGCCACATGGAAATGAACGAAGTTTTGTTTGGATGAGCTATATTTGTACAAAGCTGTGCCAGAGCCAGGATGCTAAAATTGGAAGGGCTGAGGAGAGCAGGGCAGAGAAACCCTGACAAGCTCACATTTGACAGGTTTTGTTTACTCAGCCACTATCCCACACTGAATCCATTCCCCCAGAAGCAATGCAGGCAACTCCACAGAGCCTGTGAGCTCATAAATAAACCCTGCCAGAGGTGACCTGGCCTGTATAGAGCTGTCTTGGATATCTACTGTCATGACTGCATTTGTGAACAAATGAAAAGAGCTGCCTGCAGAGAGCTGACTGTAGCAGGACCCTGAGGTGTCAGGAATCAGTTCTTTACTATCATTACCAAACTCTGTACCTCTTCTCTAATTCAGCCAAATATAGGCAATGCATCTTGCCTTCAACTGTTACACCTGTTATACAGATCATGGATAACATAGCAATTAAAATTTATTGCTTTGGATTATTAATGGTATGTCCTGCACAGGCCCCAAAACTTTTTTTGATGGAAGCCTGTTTCACAGGCCCATCCCTTATGCACTTCATTGCCATCTGCTGATTCCATTCCCCAAATGTGTGGTAGTCATGAAAATCTGTACTGAATATCTGACTACTGAGGCTCTGTTCCCACTAGAGTTTTCATTAATGTACAAGAGGAAAACGTACCAATAGGGGATAATATGAGAATAAATTATATTTAATGGCACCACTGTTCTACCATCTGTTAGAAAAAAATATGGAAATGGCTACCTGGAGATTAGCAATTTATGATGGCTCACACTGTTAGGACACCATAGAGTAAGAGTTTGTTGAGCATGCTTTTATTGGTAGCCAGGAAGAAGAAAAATAGTTTCATAATGTTATGATCAAAATAGTTATTTGTCATTTATAGGTAAGTCTACCTTTACTACATCCTAAAATATCCAGTTGCTACATTATCACCTTTAGCATTGCTGTGCTTGCAGCAAATTTTTTTTTTTCTTTTTTAAATCAGCCCATAAATAGAGCATTTGTTTGATGTGTAACATGCCTCATAGCTTATTAAGGAAGTCTTTTGGGTAGATGCAGACGTTAATCTTCAGACATGGGTAAACAAATGACATCCAACTTTATTTAATACCCATAAATAAAAAAATTTCAGTGATTTAATTTAAAAGGCATTATTAGATTTGTTTTGTTTGGGATTTGCTTGTGGGAAGTACAAATTGATACTATCCTTTATGTTAAGAGCTCAGAGAAATATCTGTTCATTGAGGGTTCTTTCCACCTTCAAAAACCTTCAGATTTTCATCTGAATTTGTGCCAAATTGAGTGCCAAGTCAGATAAGCAGGAGGTCTACTTCTCAAGTTTATTAATTTATTTATACCATTTTCTGTGCGTACAGCACTCCTTTGACGGAAGTGATTGAACCTGGCTTGATTTTTGTGAAATCAGGACTTAATTTACATTCCTGGCCAAGGAACATCACCCCGCAAGGATGTTCCTCAAGGGAACTACCCTCCTATAGTTCTCAATACTGAGAAGCAGGACACAGTGTGATGCAAAGGATGTACTTGGTGGAAGTGGTCACAGAGTGCTATGTGAAACACATGAACAGAAATAAAGTGGTGGGTTTGGTTAACCCGAGAAGCAGCTGTGGAAAAGCAAATATAATCTGTTTTTAAGTGTGTGTTAACTGCTAAATTAAAATACATATAAGTAAAAAGGAGCTCTGGGAACAAACACAAAAATGATTAATCTAACAAGGTTTTATTTTTGTTTAAAAGACAAAATCATGTATGTGCACATCATAGTGTAGATGCTTTCTATCAGAAAATAGCAATTTTATTTGAAAATCATAGTACATTAAAAGTGATCCCCAAGCCCCCTTCAGGCAAAAATTCCAAACGTTTTGTCCAGGCCCTGGTATATTTGTATTTTGTAGTGCCACAGCAGTGCCTCCAGGAAGTTATTGTGCAGGTACATGAAGCTCTTCTGCTCCTCTCTCAGGAATAATGCATTTCTTTTGAGAGGCTGCCATAGTGTACCACATAGAGAAAAGGAATCGTGGTGCTTTGTAAGAGGAGTCTAAAATAAGTTCAACTTAAAAAATACCAGGAATTTGAAACATTCACAGTGTCTTCAACTTTCTTATCTGCTTTTCTTAACTGAAACATTGTAGGTGTTGACTTTTCAATAAAAACTTAATTTTCTACCATGAAATAATAATAATTAACTGCAACAATACATATGTTCTTCCTGTAGCTGGTACATTCTCTGAAGGACAGAATATTTTCCTGATAGGTTTTATTTCAGTGGCTGCTTGTATGAAAATAAGTATCATTATATGAGGGGATTTTTTCCATGTGTGAAAGAATAAAACATATAAAATGTGCTATTTGAGCTTGAAGAGAAGCTTGATTGAGTTTTCAAGGCGTTAACAAAGAAGGGAAGATTTTTATTAGTTCTAGAATATTTTTCTCTCTCACCGTTGAGCTACGCTACTAAAGTTTGCTGTGACACTGGCATATAACTAATAAAAACTCAATCATAAAATTTGATATAAAGGAACTTCATGCAGTATAACAGAATATCTAATAAGCAATGCAGTTTTTAGAGATGTGGAATAGATATCTTTAAAATGTCATCATTTCATGGTTTTTTGTAGATATTTTCAGTGCTAGTTGTAGGAAGATACTGATTTTTATTTTAATCCTGATCATAGCTAGTAAAAAGACTGCACTATATTTTGAATTAAAATAAATTTGCAGAAGGTCTCCCTAGATATTTTGTGATTTTTGAAAAGTTTATTTTAAAAACGTAAATGCCAGCTTAGTTACATTCTTTCCTAAGAAATACTCAAATAGTTCAACTTTTGTTACATCTATTTCATAATACTTTGAGAGCATTTACACTAACTTTCAAATATTGATAGAATAAGCTATAGGAGTGTGCTACTGAGAGTCTGCCGTGAAGAGATTTGGAGACCACATACTTTTGATTTCTACATGGTAGTTTTCCTTCTGTGTCTGTATCGAAGGCATCACTCTTCCTGGTGCCTGGGAATTTCATCTTACTGCACTTTGCCTGTAGTTATTTGCATGTCAGACACCCACTGAAGTAAGATGAAAATGTTAGGGTCAGAGAGGGTACCTCTCCTTTTCCCCTTGGCATTATGAGACAATTAGTTGTGCTGCATGCAACTAGAAACAATGAAAAACAATGCAATGTATGCAGCCCTTATAAAAAAAGATCAAAATACTTCTGTTTTTTTCAAACGTTAATCGGAGGAGAGCACTTAGCCAAGCAAACATCCAAGGTTGTGTGACAGAGCACAGCTGCAGTGTTCATCCTGATTATTATTTCTTTGCTGAAGTCTGTGTCCTTTCCCATAACTGGAACTACACCTAGAGGTATGTTTGTGGAAGTTGGCATTACAAGCAGGATATAGGCAAGTCTGGAATCCTGCCTGGAATGTCAGACTCTCTGACAGTAGTATCACTCAAAAAGTGATACCTGTTTCCTGAGGCATTGTGTCACACCTGCCTGGAAGAGCAGGTTTGGATTACTGGTATTTTGGATATGGTCATTGTTACCATCCCCACGTATAGCATGAAGTCTTTCACCTCTGAGCAGAGAGGTGATCTGGGCCATACAGAGGTAGAGATCTTTCCTTCCTCTAAAACTATTGAGATTTGGTTCTGTGAAGGATGCTGTGCCATGTTCATGTGCCCAGATGTACAGGATACCTTAACCTTGAGAAAAGAAGCTAGGAGAAGAAAAAAACAACACTATGGAGATGACATTCAGTAGCACTCACCTCTCTATTGTCAATCGATAAAGAAATACCTCAAAAGGGCAGTTCTGCTCTAGTAAGGTCAGGGTTGGGTGCCTGAGGGACTCAGCTGAGTTCATGAAGTACAGTGGGATGAATGCACACCTGTACACCCTGCCAGAGTCAAAGCCACTGGATCAGCTTAAGGACCTGAGGGCTGCTATGAAGCACCACGCTGCATTTTGGGGGCAACAATTTTTCCAGCACACTCAGGGTGAAAACAAAGAAATTATCCTTTAGGAATCTTTCTTTCTTTTCTCTTCCTTTCTAGTAGCCATGGGTAAGTTAGTTGGAGCTGAAGAATAAGCTCAGCTAAGCAAACAAGAGAAGTTTGACATTGTAGTAAATCAGCATTCAGTATTTCAGTTGGTGAACGAAAATTTCCACTGGCACATAATACAAAGGACTGATTCAGTCAAAACTCCCTCTGCCAATTCAGCCGGTTTTGCAGTGTGCAGAGTCAGTCATCTCCCAGCCATCTTGAAGTTGGATCAGTAGCTGTCTGGCTGCCCTGTGCTAAGTGTGCTAGATCAGGCATCGCCTGTCCTCTTCCTGCTTGGGTAAAGCATAAAGCCAGAATAAATGCTGTTATCTGTCTCCAGCTAACTTTACTTACAGAAATGAAAATTTGGACTTATGCCTGATGCACATTAAATTCATCCTGCTGAGAAAACCCAGTAGAGCCTAGTTTACATAAATGCCCATTGGTCAACATGGCAGCATTCTGCTTTGGCTTCACAGTCTTTCTGCACAGCTGAAGCACATTTACAGCCATCCCAGACAGAATCATGTATCCAAATAGTGTCCAGTGGTCATTACTGCATATGAGGACAGAACATACATATGAATGTATATGTCTTAAATAGTGTGTACTGGTCATCATTCTCCCAGGTAATTCTGCAAAAGATCTTTTGTCTTTCAGTAAACGTCTTTTAAATGCTGCCTTGCGTAAGGAATGCTGAGGGTTTTGTCTGTGGTTAATCTACCTCTTTCTGTTTGTATATTATAATCCAGGACAAATGATACCGGCCTCCTTACTTTCAAAGACCATTTGCCTGTAACTCAGATAGTGATCACTGACACAAACAGATCAAATTCTGAGGCTGCTTGGAAAATCGGCCCTTTGCGTTGCTATGGAGACAGTGAGTACTAGCTCTTCTCAATTTCCATAGGTACAGAATGTTCTCTCTTTCCTTTAGTTTGTTTTTTTTGTTTGTTTGTTTTTTGTTGGGGGGGGGTGTGTTTGTTTGTTTTTGGTTGGTTGGTTTTTTGGGTTTTTTTGGTAGTTATCTTTTTCTTGTTTTTAAACTTATTTCTTTGATGAAAGGTGGCTTTCCACATGCAGTTTACAGCTGCTGTCCTGTGCCAATTAACTATAGAGAAGGGGGTTGTGTTTGCAGGACAGTTCTGGAACGCTGCTTCCTTCAACACAGAGGCCTCCTATCTGCACTTCCCCACATTCCACGCCGAGTTTAGTGCAGACATCTCCTTCTTCTTCAAAACTACTGCCGTCTCTGGGGTATTCTTGGAAAACCTTGGGATTAAAGACTTCATACGAATTGAAATAAGCTGTAAGTTTCACCGTTAAGAAATCTTGGGGTATTTACCCAATTTGACAAGTGCAAGGGCATATTTTCTGCTGTCTTGAGATGCCTGAAGAGGATAAGATGGAGACATAAAGACTCATTAATCTAGACTTGTCTATCACTCCTGTCAAGAGTTTCCCTGTATAGCTTTGGTCATTATGCTTAACCTTGTTATGTTTATCTTTCTTAAACAAGTGTAGGAATGTAGTTTTTTCAACATTTATATTTATTGTTTTGCTCTTTAGAGAAAAAAATTACTGGTTAGATGTACCCATAGGCTGTAATTTTAGTTGAAAGTTGAAAAAGTTAATACAACCATTCTGATGGTTACTTTTATTCGTGTATCAGTAACATACCCAGCCTGATGCAGTCCTAGAATTTCAGAGGAACTGAGTGTGTATAGTACAGCTACAAGGTGAGAGTTTATGAAGGACAGGACACTAATGCAAGATAAGACAGTCACAGTTGTAATGAGTCTTGAATACTTGAAAATATAGTGAGTGCAATGTAACTGCTACTCAGCATATAAAGGAGAATAGCAGGAAATTTAATTAGTGAGATTTTGCCTCACTCCTGTTCTGACAACTTCAAATATTTATCAGTGATAAAAGAGTACTGTGGCTTTGACATGAAATATGACTTCTGTATTCCAAATTCTGTCAAGCTTAGGGAAAACAAACTGAGTGCTATGCATTTGATAATATGCTTATAATAACCCCAACATAAAAATTAATAAAACAGGGCCCTAAGGCCCTTCGATTCATTAAACCAATGGTAAATGTCATGGTGCATTATCACAAGGTAATGAGGTATGATTTACTGTTAATTGCACATCAAAGTCCAATTTGGTTGTACTTCAGTGTACTGTGGTTCATTCTCAGGGATATAGAAGTAAAAATGGCATCAAATGTAACAAATACTGTAAACTAAGATTGTTTAGTGAAAGTTTCTGGATTTGTGTTGAATCTGTACTCCTAGAGAAATGAGTTATTTAAAAGTTTGGGAAAAATCTTTTAAACTTGGGCTTCTCACCAGTAGTTTGATGCTGTGCTTCCTCGTGCCAGATGGAATTTGCAGCCTAAAGGCCTTGTACCAAGGAAGCTCTACAGACCAGCTGCTTCTAAAGGAAACGGCTCTTTAGCAGATGCAGAGGCTCTGAATTGATCTTTGTCTATCCCTATGGAGCGTTTCCTATCTTAACTATCTAAGAAGCAGCTTCCAAAACTAGACCTATCCAATTTTTGAGGCTTGAAATAACAGGTTTTTTATGAAATTCAGTCTACCTACAACCTTCTGGTTTTGTGATCTGTGGACCTGATTCTTGGTCTCGTGGTGCATTTAGCATTTTAGGAAGAGGAAAAATAATCAGTAGCCAGAATGTTAAAAAGTTCTAGCCTCCTTCAGGCTTCCAGTAGAGCACAGTAGACTCCATTATGTGGTTTGTTTTTCAACTATTGTCCTGTTTCTAGGTGCCTTATTATCTCTAGACATGTGTTATATATACAAATTTGGTTTAGGATCACCAGTGATCTAGGTTTGCTCATCTATTTTTTCTTGCTTCTTGAGTCAGACTTAGGCAAACAAATGCTTGTAGGATTCTCTCCTACCATATGCAGCCAAGTTATGTAATTGTTAAGTACATACAGTTTGAAAGATTTAGTTGGAAAGAGATTCTTCGTCCTTTCTCCCATCTTAGCATTTTTTTGTCCAAAATCTTTTGGTACCATTGTGTGACTTTTGTGCAACATTTGTCGCTTTTGCTTCATAAAGAGAACTTCCATTTCTAGAGCACAGTAACTGTTATGACAAAAAAAGATGTGTACCCACAGCCAGGCATAATCAAAGCAGAGATCAAACAGTGAGGCTGCAGGCTTAAATTTATGTATAAACTGCTGTGTAGGAGATGGGAGGTAAATGATCCTGTACTCTTTGCTGACATAAAAGTTAATGAACCCTATATTTATGTAAGATTTCTTGATGTCAAAACCACAATTTAAATCAGACCTTCACCTCCTCTTCACATCTGTTTATCTGTTCCAGCCCCCAAAGAGATCACCTTCTCCATAGATGTCGGGAATGGCCCCACAGAAGCCACTGTGCAGTCTCCCAGCCCCCTGAATGACAACCAGTGGCACTACATCCGAGCAGAGAGGAACCTCAAGCAAACGTCTCTCCAGGTGGACAGCCTCCCCAAGAAGGTCCTGGAGGCACCTACTGAGGGGCACTTTCGCTTGCAGCTCAACAGCCAGTTGTTTGTAGGTAGGGATCATAAGGGTTTCCGTGGGTATCAACAGTATTTCTGTGTCCATACCTTGGTAATGAATGCTGTTGTCTCACCTTTGACCCTGTATGTGGTGACCTAATTTTGCTTTCTCTTCCGTTCCTTCATAGGCAACACAAAGTAAGCCCAAACAACTGCGTTTACACTCAAAGCACTAACCATAGTTTAAGCGTATTATACTTTATGGTATTTTTAGGGTCAAATACTTGAAAGGTATTTATTGCCAAAGAATTTACAGTCTTCCTTCTTGTGCAGTACTGGCTGTGTAATTTGCTGTAGAAAATGAGATCTCTCTCTTTAAACACAATGTAAAAGTCACGAATTTGTCATAAAAATTTCTGGGGCAAAGCCTGATTGAAAGTATGGTCTTCAAAGTCTGGTCCTTCAAATGTGCCTACCGAAACCCTTATTTGGCTACTGAGTCCATGACTGAGAGAACTATGAACAGAGTCAAAGCAAACACAGGTGTTTACCTAGAAGTGATCTTTCAAAGGAGAAAAAAAAAATTAAAAGAGAAAAACATCTCTGCATATATTTTGTTTCCCTATCACCTGTGCAAAAGAAATCTGGTTTGGAACTAGCTTTTGTTTGATAATATGATCATGGATTACAAGGGGAATCCTCTCTTTTTCATATTCAAACACTGTCTTTCTGAGTAATCTGCTCAGTGATGGAGTGGGCTGTATCTCACATCTTATCCAGAGCCATTCAGGTAACTACCAATTCCTTCCTTAAAATGGAGTCTCTTACTTAGCTGAAATACTGTAGCAAACCTCAATCTGTCAATTCATTTTAATATAGTTTACTTGTGTATTCACACGCTTTGATTTAAGTAGATTTCAGGGTATTTATTTGAGCTTTTTATTGTGTATGTGTGCAGTAATTACTGGGCTCTGAATGCAAAGAATTAATCTGTAATAAATAGATACAGCTGCATCAATGTCAGGAGTCCTTCCCACATAGCAGTTGATTTATACTCCCTAAAATGATCTCTGCTAGACTCAGCTGGAGAGGAGCTCACTGAAGAACTCACAGAAGGGAGGTTTAAGACTGCCACAATGCAAGGTTTCTGTTTTCTGGTATGAAGCATGCTGCTAATCACTTGTTTTTTAAATGCTACTTTGATCCTAAGAGCATGTTCTGTGGGAGGCCAGGCCTGAAGGCAATAGGGTTGGGCTGCTAGACACCTTAGAAATGTCAGAGAATTTTAGCCAAGTTACTGTTTCCAGCTAGAAAAACTGGAGATTTAGTGACTGGATAGACTTTTGCAATGTTTGGGAGTTGAGTGGATGGGTAACAGCTGTGCAGAAAAGGTCCCATCG